CGGAGCGGTCGTGCGTTCGCCGCTTGTTGCGGAGGTTTGTGGTTCGAGCCACGCGTCTTGCCCTGGTTAATACTGCGCGCGGTGTACCAACCGTAATATGAGTAACGTCTGCTTCACAGTGGACGTTTAAAGGTTCCCTGACGTTAATAAAAACAAAGAGTAGACCACGTGTTCCCGGCGTCACGATCCAAATTTACCAACTATAAAATATATATATTTGAAAATTACTTTATTGGGTTAAACCAAACAGCAACATCCCCCCCCCCCTCCACTAGTATGACTTTACTCGAACACTCAGAAACAAAACAGTGCTTGGAACATATGGTCGTTTTTTTGTAATATTTGAAATTGGTTTACTCAATACAATGGCATGCAAAAGTTGTATTATTTGATTGTCTAAGGGTTGGCCTATAATATCCCGCTGCTTACTCCATTGAGACCGCGATCTTCAAATATGTTTTTTTTTCATTCCTCTAAGAGGGTATGGACGTAGATGCCCGCAGTGTATAGGTACACGTTTTTACAAAGGTATACACGGCAATTGTTGGAGAACAACATTGAACCTGAATGCAAAATGTCCCATGGCAGTAAATAATAAAAAGTATATATAGAATACGGTTGTAATTTATTTATCCAGGAAAGCCTCACCGAGTCTCTAGGCTCTTTTTTTCCACAGGGTCCTGCGTTGTGGATGTTTTGTCAATTTTATTTTAATGAGCGTGGGATGAGTGACTGGAGAAAACCCAACATGCATACGAGCGGGCAACGTATGAAATTCCATAAGAACAGGTTTCACAAACAATAAAACAAAACTATAAACTCAACCAATATCTTTTTACATTTTTCCAGGTAATGCCCACTGAGCCATTTCGCTCTTTTTCAGAAGCGAGCTGGCTGCAAATGTTCGCTCAACGCACTGGCTTCTCATCGCGTGGAAATTCACAGCAGACAGTTTGTCATTTCTGTGCACCAGTCTCGAGCAACGCTCCCATTCGTTCACACGATCACCGCTCTGCTCCATCAACGAGCCCCAACATCGAGGCTGGGGACGCTGCTGTGCGTTCATCAAACCCAGTGCATTAGCCGGTACACCACCCCGTGCTATGAATGTACTTGCCCTCTTATCCAACCAGCCCGGCTGCTCCCTGAGAAAGAAAGAACAAAAAAACTCCTCTAACCACATCTTGGAGCAATTGCAATTTTCCATAATTGTTTTTCTCTCCTCTGGGAATGGCAGCATTGATTTTAGTTAATTGATGGGAGAAGATGGCAATCCCCCCATACGCAGCGAACGGTTTCTTCTCCGCCACGCTGTCCCCGTCCTTCTGCGGCAACGAAACTCCGGCGTCTTTCCCCTACCCACCCTTCAACCCGTACCACCAACCCCGAATTCCGACCGAATGGCGATCGATGGCTTGAGCGGTGGTGCAGCGGTGTGCGCAGTGCGTATTTCAAGCCGTCGACCCCGAATTTGATTTCCGGCCAAGGGTGTACCGCAGACGCCGGGCAGCATGGCGACGCACAGTCAAACAACCTTCCGCTCCCCGCCGGTGACCAAACCGGCGCGGGAAGGCATTCATCCAGCAGTGGATCGACGAAGCGTAGTTAATGCTGGCTCTTAAAAAAAAAAATGCTGCAAATAACACAAAATCGCCAGCGTTGGTCGGCGAGCCGGTGCCAAGTTCACTTGGGGTCACATTTCAAAGTGTGTCCATAGAGGGTCTCTCTCTCACTTGGACCACCGCGTGTCCTCGCGGTGCTCCTCTGGTCATTCTGGACCATCCGTTAAAAAAAGATCTTTGTAGATCATCGGATTCTTCTGGGGTAAATCAAGATTCTGTTCCTGAACTCTGTTTTGCAAGCGTGCCAGCCACTGGAGGAAACGCCAAGTTCACATGGAAGGGGGACGCTTTACCTGCACTTATTAACATTTTCTGTTAATAACGTTTATAATTATTATTAGAATCATTATAATTCCCGCAATCAGCTGTCAGCCACGTGCGCACGAGGGAGGACAACGGAGCTCTGCACGGATGGATTAAAGAATCCATCGTCGCGCTTGTTATCCCTTGGTCATCATGCAGCACAAACATTCTTCCCACAAAGTAGTCTTAATTGTATTCCCCCTATTGGGTTGATGATAATTGCCAGAAGGACACCAAGTCCCCCCCCCCCCCCCGTATGTAAATGGAATACAATAATCATGACAGAGCTGCGTTGCAAACAGATAATGCATCTCATTGGGGGGTGGGGGGGTGCAGCTCTCACCTGCTGAAAGAAAGGACCGCCGATTGATTTCGGCCCGCTCTTGCATAGGTTAAATCGGACAACAAAGCCCCCCCACCCATTGAGCAGGGACATTGTGTTTTTCTTCCGTGAAGCATACGTCAAAAGTCTGAAGCATTTCAAGGCCATTTTTTATTTTAATAAACAATCTCGACAAGCCTGGAACTTGCTTGCAGCAGATTGGAGAAGTGGATTGTCACGTCAGGCCGTGTTGTTGTTGCATGGGGGGGGGGGGGGGGGGGATGGGGGGAGCCCGCTGTTCATTTTCGCGACGTCATTAAGACAGCCATACAATGTTAGGCAGCATTCACGTAATCTATTCGGCTGCGAGAAATTCCCACGCCACGATAGGCCACCTCGTTGAGTTTTTGAGTTTTCATTTGTGATGGGCAGGTCGCTTCTGAAAAAAAAGCTGTGCGGCTGAGTGCGCCTTACCTGAAAAATTACAACAACAACAACAAAAATGCGAAGTGATAGTTGAATGCCTCTTTTTTTTAGTTAACAGTTAGGATGGGCGCCGACGTGATGGCGACTCAAGACGTTATCAGGATGTGTGGGCACCGTTGTTGAAACACAATGATAAATTAGCACGGCGATTTACCCTAGGACCATTATCCACTGCTGGATGAAGCTTCTTGCAGGCGTTTAACTCGGGGCTGATCGTAACAAAAAAAAACGAGATAAAGGCGCAGCCCTGGAATTGCTTGCTCACTCCACTACTGGAGGAAGGGCCCCCTCACGAGAGGGAGCTCTGGAGGGGGATTTTTTTTTGTCCTCCTCTTCCATGGCGGACCAGACGTGTGAGTCCCCACACTCAAGACGCGACAGTACGGAATTCAATTTCGTGAATCCATCTGCGCAGAGCTTCGAGCGTTATCCCCCTCGCGCACGACCGGCTTGCTCCGGCTTCTCCGGTGTTTCTCCCAGGTTTGTCCGGCATTAATTTTCATGGAATTGGCCAAGCGTCCGCAGTGCGAGGTACCCCCCCCCCCCCTGTTAAAGTGTCCTGAGACTCGGCGAGACTGCTCCGGGCATGTAATTAACGGAACGTCACGATTATAAATATGCATTTCGTACGGGCGGACGCGATTTGGCTCTGACATTGTGTTTTGTGCGTAATTTTTTTTCAAATGTTTTACATTGAGAACATAATAAACAGGAACGATGGAAAACTTAATCATGGAAATTACACTGAGCAGGGGGAAAGAGAAGCAAAGGCTGGAATTCAACGGGCACGCTAAAATATAATGTCTGCCCGTATTTTCGGTAGGTATTGTATATGGTAATAAAATCGCGGCGGAAGGCACTTACATTCAAACGTTGGCCCTGTTATAGAACGAGTCTGTAATAGATCACAGCAGGAATCACTTAATTGCACTAATTCAGAGAGAATTGCTGAATCCCGTTGCATAATCCCAAAGGGCACATTAGCCAACATCTTCAGTATAAATAAATAAGTTAGATAAAAGAGAATACGTACATAATATGAAATCAAAAGCGTCTGCCGGCGGAAAGCCTGAAAAAAGACGACTCTCGTTCGTGCTTTTGGCGCGTACTGTCACTTTGCAGGGAAACAAAGTGGCTGTACCGTAATGGGGCGGTCTGACTCCTGCCATGAGAATGTGGAATTTCCCAATTTGTGCTACGAGGGAACAGACGGCTAGCCCTCAACCACTGGCTCAGGGCCACTGATGAAGGGCATCTCCCCATTGCTCATGGGAAAAGCATCTCCCCATTGGGAAGAGCAGTGGTGGAAACTCCACATCCCCGCGGCAGGGATAAGTCCTTTCAGAGGGCAACTCCTGTTGACTTCACGCAAAGTGGTTCTCGTGTTTTAGACCCCCATCAACCTCACGAATGGGACTTGAACTCACAACCTTCCGGCTGCGAGCAGAATTATCTAACCACAGCCAACACCAGCCAGCCGCAAGTGTCCTTGTGCATGCACTCGGGTTGCCACTTGTCCTGGTTTTCCCAGGAACGTCTTCTTGTTGAGGCAGCTGCTGTCCTGGGAAATCTGGAAATGTTCCTGTGACATCAAAAGTCCCAGTTTTTGTCAAATGCTTAACAGTACGCCACTCCATTTTCTGGCAACAAAACTGAAACCTTTTTACAAGGATTCATGTCTGCATTAACCATAATACCTGCAGTCAAAATGCAAACAAAAAACATACTATGATAATTTTTTGTTTGCATTTTGACTGTAGGTATTGTGGTTAATGCAGACATGAATCCTTGTAAAAAGGTTTCAGTTTTGTTGCCAGAAAAAAGGGGAAAAACCCTGTTATTATATTTTGGTACTGGCAAAGGAGGTCTAATGAAGTATGCCACTCGCTCAAGACAAAGCATTCAAATGCGGTTCTCCCCTCTTCCAGTATTTTGGGATATTCTTCATGCCGTGACATGTCCCAGTTGATGTACATCAGAAGTGGAAATCCCAGCATGCATATGTGTATGTATAAACGTGTGTGTCTGTGTGTACGTAGGGGGAGCGGTGGTGCAGTGGTTTACGCACTGCGCTACGAACCCGGCGACCCGAGTTCGATTCCCGCTCACGACCAATAACAATGGCGAATATCTGAACCGGTCCTGGGCCTCCCCTTGGTAGATTCGGCCTCAAACGAGGACCCGGTGCGGTGTGCATTAAATGCTACACGGAGGGGAAATCTGTGTCTTATTGCGTGGTGCCTGTGTGTGTGTGTGCGCGTGTGCAGGCCTGCCAGGCACAGCGGCTGACCTGGAGAAACGGCGCTTGGTGTTCGGGCAAAACTTTATTCCCCCGAAGAAACCGAAGACGTTTCTGGAGCTTGTGTGGGAGGCCCTGCAGGACGTGACTCTCATCATCCTCGAAATCGCCGCCATCGTCTCTCTGGGCCTGTCTTTCTACCAGCCACCCGGGCAGAACTCCGACAGTAAGATCTCCCTCCGTTAGCTTTCCTAACGCGCCATGAAAACACCGTCGTCATCGGCATCATCATCATCATCATAAGAGTCATCATGATCCTCTTTATCATGGTCATTAGCCGGGGGGTGATGGCTCTAATACGCGGCCTCTGATCCAGCACCGTGGAGGCAGTGAGGGTTGTTGGATCACGCGCAGATGTCGTCACACTGCCTTTCCCATGTGCCACGAAGTGCCCGTGCTTGCCAGGAGTATAACAAAATGTGGACTCCACCTGTTCCAGCTGTATGGGATAGAGCGTTGTCCCCTCGCACGCAAGTAAAACAATCATGAATTGTCTTCTTTGGTTCTTTCGGTAAAGTCACGTAGAATGAGAATAAAATAATACCGAAAGAACCAAAGAAGATGAATCCTTGCAGTCACGAAAGCTTTAAATCGAAAAAAGTCATGAATTGGCTAAGAACATCTTAACAGATAGAGAACCACAGAGCTTGGTGGGGAATTTCGCGCGGGTTCACCATGTGTCAGCCTTCCCGGTTTGGCCGTGGTTCCTCACGCCTCCAGGCTGCTCTCTTTCTTTCAGAGTCGGGGATACTCTGCGGTGCTTTACAAGTTGAAATCATTTACACGGTCATCATCGCCATCTGTCATCGTGATGATCATCACCAGTGTCATCATCATCATCATCATCGTCGTCGTGTGATCATCATTACTCTTGTTGTCATCACCATCATTATCACCATCACCACCACCACCACCATTGCCATAAGTTAATAAAGGTAAAACAACGGATTGTAATTCGAAACGGCAATCTTCACAACAGTAATTGGGTCCTAGAGTGCGTCGGTGTATAATTCGGAGTTTAAATACCAAGCTACACACCGCGACTTACACTTGGCAGCAACATGAATGAAGACATAGTTTCAATCGCTGCGTGTCCATTCGCTGCCATCATTAGTTTTCCCCCCACATTGACTTATGGGTGGCTGGACGTGGCTGTGGCTAAAAGAGCTTCTTCATAGCAGCTGTTGGTTATCGGCCGGTCGAGACGCCCGCCGTCCTATAGGGCGCCTTGAGCGACCGCGGGATATTCATCGCCTCGTGCGTATTCCGGTAAGAAGCACTCCAGCCACCCCCCCCGCCCCCCTCCCCGCGTAAATGCAGTCCGCCTCGAGCACTTACATTAACGTCAGGCATCATGATGTACGACTTGATTACACGCCCTGCTCTTTGAGAAGGCCGAACCGTTGGCACCCGTCGAGTCTCCGCGCTCACAAACGAGCCGTGGAATTTGAACGACGACAACAACAACAACAAGAACAACATGTTTAATAATGAGCACGTTGCGTGAATAAAAACATTTTTTTTGCGTGGCTTTACATCGTCGGGGAAAATCCTCCCCCCCCCTCCCGGCCCCACCCACTCCGGCTGCGACGTTCACGATCAGTTTGCGGCGATGTGAAGAAATCCTCTCGCGGACTCGTCTCGGTCCGTGGGGGCCTGGCGCGCCGTAGAGTCGTTGGCTACGTACGGCGCGAAAGAAGTTCGACGTGCATCGGAGAAACTGCCCCGCAAGACAAAGTCACCACAGAACGACTTCAATAGGAAGCTACCTCAATACGTCCTTTTCTGTTTGAGATACAGGGTGACTTTCCTTGTCTTTTTACATGTGAATGCAATAGCAATGCATTAATCAGTTTTTTATGTTTCTGAAACTTTCTTTTGTAATTGTACTACCACCAGTATAGAAATAATATGATTTCACATCGATTTATTGCCCAGCGCAGTGTTTTTAGATTTTTCATGCGACACACAGTAGTTGTTTTCGCTCCGATTTCTCATTAGATTCTTTGCTACACTTCAATTCCATGAAAAAAATATATATTTTATTTTACCAAGTAAGGTCCACTGAGTTATATATCTATTTTTCAGAAGTAAACCTGGCCACAAATGATTTTTCAACAAAGTGGCTTATCATGCGGACATTTATAGCAGCCAAATACTCTAACCGGGTGATTCTAAATGTGGAGGGAAAAACCGTAGGACCAGGAGAAAAATCCACGTGACCACGGAGAAAGAGAGAGACATGCAAATTCCAAATATACAGTCGTCAGGGTCAGGATGGAGCGAGGAAGTTCACATCTCGCCACTGCGGCACCTTTTGGTGAGCCAGGGCAATCTCGGCAAACGAGACGCTCTTCCTTGTTTTTCCCGCTGAATGAAATAAACTTGTATCTGACCCCCAACACGAGAACGGCGCTCCTTCGTGCCCTCAAAACATCGGAATGCCGTGTACCAGCCATCCGATGCGTTTACGCACTCCAAGGCTCATCGCTGCCATGGTGGTGTAAAGGTCACCACACCAGAGGTCACCCGTCAGATCTCCCACCGCCGCCGCCTCTGTCCACCCAAGCACCACAGTTATGTCGATCGTCAGGAGGCCCCCTGCGGTGGGGTGAAGCGTGGGAACTCCCACCTCTTCCCAGATGGCTGACTGATGCGGATAATTCGGGCAAAATACCCTCTAGAGGGGCTCTCTCCACATCCCTCCACCAGCGTTGACATGAGCGAGTGCATTTTGCAGGGCCCGCACCGTTACCTGCACCTGAACCTCACGGTTGGATAAGACTCAAGCAACAGACTTGGAGACCGGCCCGAGACCCTCAGCCCCTTGCTGCACTTGAAGATCCCTAACTGGACGTCTGCGAAACTACTGGACATGTCTGTGAGCTTTATAAGCTCATCGGATTCCTCCAGTATAAATACATATTCTTCGGTTCTTTCGGTGAAGTCACGTAGGTATAAAATAAAATAAATCCCGACGTTTCGGGCGCAACACAAGCGTTCGTCATCAGGTGGGAAAGCATGGTCTGTTGCTGAGGTAGACTGTTTTAAAAGGTTTGAAATGGGTGTAGTCCAAGGGTCATAAAGGAGTGGCCGGGGCTAGTGATGTTTACGTGAGAAATTAGCATGCAACTGCAAGATAGGAGGAGAGCGGTCTGATTCTGAACCCTTTTAAATTTACACTGTGAAGCAGATGCTGGCGCATCTTACGGTTTGTAGACCGCGCGCAGTATTAACCAGGGAGAGACGCGTGGCTCGAACCACAAACCTCCGCAACAAGCGGCGAACGCACGACCGCTTGGCCCCGTCACCGCACGCCCGCACGTGTGTATGTATGCCGACCTTCTTTCACACCGAACATAGACAACCGTGCTCATCGGAGGTGCGGGATTAAGGACAACAAACCAAACACACACACACACACCTAAAAAGCAGCTCTAAATAAATAACGGGAGTGTCCAAAACTCTGGATTCGAACCCTGGGATGTGAGTGACGCCATCCTCCGTGTCTTTGACACGGCCATTATGAGCCCCCCCCCCCACCACCCCCCACAACCCCCCCCACCACCCCCCACGCCACCCCCCCCCACCACCCCCCCCACCCCACGCCACCCCTACACCACCCCCCCCACCACACCTCTGCAACTAATTGGCCGGCACGGGTTATCTTTTGGTGGTGGTGGTGGTGGGGACAGCTTTCAAATTAAAAATCTCGCACGGCCCGGGATTTCTCATTCCCCGCTATCGATCTCCCACATGCACATAGACCCCCCCCCTCCCCCCCGTCTTATTTGTGCTTCTCTCGTGATTTGTTTGCGCAATCGGTTGTTGGTTAGGGAGAACGTTAGAGGGGCGGGGGGGGGGGGTGATGGGGGAAGGTAGGGGAAGGGCTAAAGGGGCAATGCAATCAATAAAACTAAATGGAGGGGGGGGGGAGAAAAAAATAACATCCGAGATGCTCATTCAATCAGCGCAACAAACGCTTTGCAACTGTTTGGCTAAAGAATAGAAATCTTACGACAATACTTTGCCTTTAACAAATGGGGAAACGCGTTCAAGAATAGGGCTATTGTTCTCATCGAACGTCTGCTGAAAATATCTCCATAGCTCATCAGATTCCTCCAGTGTAAAAAAAAATATATATTCGTTCGTTATATATTATATATTTAATCGTTCGTTCAACTACACCAGAGACATTTTCCTATCATGGCCTTGTCGCATCAGCGGTGTTAGAACAGAGAAAGCCAAAGACGAACAGCACAAAAGCAATGCAAATATTGAAGCATTAATAGCTCTGGTTGAGCCGTTATGTATATTGTATTAAGAAACATTGTTGAAATGAATTGATGCAGGAACTTCGTTATTCAAATTACAGAGAGATGCCTTGAATATATTTAATATAGATTAATTATAATAAAATCACGGGAGCTGCTGGATGAAGGCTTCCCCCACGTTTGCAGTCATGAGAGGTTTATTGACCATACTTCACCACGCTGGTCAGTGTGCAAGGTTCAGGAGGGAGGGAGGGGAGGATACTGACTCCATAACGGTGATTTTTTTAAAAATACAAAATATTGTTAATGCTCATCCTCCTTCACATCACGCGTTGCAACATCCTGACATTCTTGACGGCATTTACCAGGGGCATCGACGTTATCATCAAGCACACCGGACTCATCAGAGCAGGCGCCGGGGGGGGGGGGGGGTTCCTTGGGTAATTGCCATTCTGGGCTCAGGTATTTAAGAGTATTCTAAGGTTTAGGTGTTTAAGACTGGTTTAAGGTTCAGGTATGTAAGAATGTTCTAAGGTTCAGATGTTTAAGACTGGTCTAAGATGCAGGTATGTAAGAGTGTTCTAAGGTTTAGGTGCTTAAGACTGGTCTAAGGTTCAGGGATGCAGGAGTGTTCTAAGGTTTAGGTGCTTAAGACTGGTCTAAGGTTCAGATATGCAAGAGTGTTCTAAGGTTTAGGAATGGACCCAATGCACCTTTGTATTCTTGCATAAGAGTGACATTTAATAAGGAAACCACAGAGAGCACGGATCGATCCGGCTTAATTCTCGCAAAAGCTTGAAGATCCCAAACAGATCCTCGCTTAACGCACTGGCTCGCCGGCTTGTCAAGTTCAACGGCGCCTCATCCCGCAACCCGCGCAGCCGCCGTGGGTGTGTTACTCATCACGAGAGCGCTGGCGGTCGGCAATTTACACCGGACTTATTTTATCCCAGTGTCAATACGGTAATACGATCCCCTGTGTGTATATGACTTAATCTCGTCTTTAATCCCAGATTGGGAAATTCTCGGCGCGTGGTTATCTATTGGGTCAGCTATTTTTGCGTTTTGCTGCATTGCGATTTTTTTCCCCTCTTCCAATTATTCGTCAGCTTCAGCCACTCCTCAATTTTCTGGCAAGACCCACGCCCCCCCCCCCCCCCCCTGAATATTATCCATTTACAGATTAATTAATACGGTTTGTAGCGGGCGCAATCTGGACTTTGAAGGGACGGAGACGTAGGGGGAACAATTATAGGAAGAGAAAAGCCCGGAGATTCTGAAAGGAGGACAACACTGACGCCGATGTACGGTGGCGTAAGAGAGGTGGAAATGAATTCAAGACGACTGTAGCTATGACAGTGTCTCTGTTTGAGTATATGGGTCTCTGTGTGAGTATATGGTTCTCTTTGGAAGTATATGGGCCTCCTTGCGAGTCTATGGGTCTCTGTGGGCATTGTTCTATGGGCGGAGTGGAATTCCAGACGACCGGAGCTGCAACAGAGAAGCGACGTTCCCCTCGTAGGGTTCGACAGACGATAGGGCTTGACGAGGAGGAGGGAGGAGTAGGAGGGAGAAGGAGGGAGGAGTAGGAGGGAGAAGGGGGGAGGAGTAGGAGGGAGGAGTAGGAGGGAGAAGGGGGGTGGAGTAGGAGGGAGAAGGAGGGAGGAGTAGGAGGGAGGAGGGAGGAGTAGGAGGGAGAAGGAGGGAGGAGTAGGAGGGAGGAGGGAGGAGTAGGAGGGAGAAGGGGGGTGGAGGTCGCTCGCGCCAGTTTGGAGGCAGCGAGAGGGAACGCACGATGCGATGGGGGAAGCCAATTTGGGCCGGTTGACCCACCTCGCTTGAGCAGTGCCAGTTGAGGCGAAGACGCGGTGGAAGTCGGAGCCGAGAAATGGCAACAATTCATCAAATTAATCTGACGAGGACAAAAAAGCAAGCCCCCCCCCCCCACTGGCACGGAGGAGCGGATGTGTGGCTCAGGTGGCCATCGCTACGTCTGTGTCACTACTGAGCTGAGAGTGACATTGCAATTAATATTTAATAGGGAAAATTATTCGGAGGGACAGTTGTAATATTTATGACCTTTATTTAATATATGCGATGGGGGGGACACGTACATGACCTTGCCTCAGACATTCCAATTTGAATACAAAGCTTTTGAATTCCCAAAACTCGGTCTTGGGCTTGGAACTCCAAACCTTGACCTGTGCCCTGTTGTTGAAAACTTAGCGAGCACTTAATAATAGGTTTTTTTCTGGCAACAAAACTGAAACCTTTTTACAAGGATTCATGTCTGCATTAACCACAATACCTGCAGTCAAAATGCAAACAAAAAAACATACTATGATAATATATGCATTGTCCTTGAAACTGATTGGTCCACACCAAGGGACGGCTTTCTTTTGAGCCTCGACTCAATTGGTGCTCGACCAGATGACGCCAAAAGGGGAAAACCCGTATTATTATATTTTGGTACTGGCAAAGGAGGTCTAATGATGTTAGCGAGCACCTATAAAGGATAGAATCGTGGATAATGTTGGGGTTGGGGGGGGATGGGGCGGTTGTGATGAGCAACACACTAAACATCAGCACTGTCTCATCAGTTCTAATTTGTATACAATGCGCCAGGTGAACAGTAAAAGCAGAGTCAACCTCGGGGAGGGCCCAGAACCGGTTCAGCACTCGCCACTGATGTGAGCCGTGGCCAGGAATCGAACTTGGGTGACGACGGCCGTGGCACAGTGCATGTGAGACACTGTGCCGCTGCTCCGAAACAAAGAGAAAGATCCCCCGTATAGCCTTAACAGACTGTTGGGGCAAGTGCTGTCAGTGAGGACCTATGAATGCCGGCACGGCAGATTTTGTCTCCCTATTGGCGACGTTGACACACCGCACCAGGTACTCATTTGAGGCTTAGTCGACCAAGGAGAGGCCCATCACCGGACCATCACATTACAAAAGATTGCTGGCTCAGTACCGGCCACTGGCGATCTGATTTCATGAACGCGCAACTCGACATGTGACACTCCACAACACCGACCGTTGTCGTCCACCACCATCAACGAACATCCACCCATACTGATGATCGTCCACCAACATTGATGATCATCAGCCTTGTTGGTGGACGATTGTCCACAAACACTGATGGTTTGCCGCCTCAACCACAACACTGACCCATCGTACACCAACGCTGAGGATTGTCTACCAGCTACGACCATCTTCCATCAACAATGATGAGCATCCATTTGGCCACCAAGCCGTGACCATCATCCGCCAACGCTGGTGGTCACCCGCTCAACCACCAGCGCTGACCATCGTTCACCAACAACGACCACCACCCTCCATCAACACCGGTGACCGTCGATTCGCTGACCGACTCTGACGATCATGCACCAACGCTGGTGGTCACCCGCTCAACCACCAGCGCTGACCATCGTTCACCAACAACGACCACCACCCTCCATCAACACCGGTGACCGTCGATTCGCTGACCGACTCTGACGATCATGCACCAACGCTGGTGGTCACCCGCTCAACCACCAGCGCTGACCATCGTTCGCCAACAACGACCACCACCCTCCATCAACACCGGTGACCGTCGATTCGCTGACCGACTCTGACGATCATGCACCAACGCTGGTGGTCACCCGCTCAACCACCAGCGCTGACCATCGTTCGCCAACAACGACCACCACCCTCCATCAACACCGGTGACCGTCGATTCGCTGACCGACTCTGACGATCATGCACCAACGCTGGTGGTCACCCGCTCAACCACCAGCGCTGACCATCGTTCGCCAACAACGACCACCACCCTCCATCAACACCGGTGACCGTCGATTCGCTGACCGACTCTGACGATCATGCACCAACGCTGGTGGTCACCCGCTCAACCACCAGCGCTGACCATCGTTCGCCAACAACCACAACCACCACCGTCCATCAACACCGTCGACCGTCCAATTAGCCCACCATCCCCTGACGATCATCCACCAGCACTCGCCCGCTCGACCGACGCTCGCCCGCAAACCTCTTGCACTCGCCCGCCTTCGCAGTGTGCGGCAGTGTGAGTGGAGGCGCGGAGGACGAGGGCGAGTCGGCCGCCGGGTGGATCGAGGGCGCCGCCATCCTCCTGTCGGTGGCGTGCGTGGTGCTCGTCACGGCCTTCAACGACTGGAGCAAGGAGCGTCAGTTCCGCGGACTACAGAGCCGCATCGAGCAGGAGCAACGCTTCTCCGTGATCCGCGGCGGGCAGCTGCTGCAGCTGCCGGTGGCCGACATCGTGGTGGGAGACATCGCGCAGGTCAAGTACGGTGAGTCGGCGGTGTGTACGGTGCGAAAAAAGTTCAACTCACATTGATCAGACGTCATTCTTAATATAAAAAAAAAAGGAATGTGCTTGGCACGGGCACCTCGGCCAATGGTTGAGACTGGTACTGGAGCAGCAGCCGGTGATGGGTAAATGCCGTAGCAGATGAGCACTGCAGAAGAAGGATCTATGATATCGGCTGTGGATCCTTTATGTGTTGCTACAATGGCAGCACCGTATTGTACCATGAGGCCGTAGCGGCTTGGAGAGAGACCTTTCACAGCAGTGGAGTGAGTGGTCATGGCCAAGGCTACGGTTTTTGGAGCAGATATCTTGCATTTGAACAAAGTGTGTGGAAACTTGGCACGGGCTGAAAAACACATCCTATTAGAGCCTTCCTTAATTTGTTGTTGCAAGGCACCGGGATGTCGTCTGGCAATGCCGACGATTGTTCGCTCCGTCCACCGCCCCACCTCCGATAATATCGCTCCACCAGCGTTAGCGATGAATGATCGCCAATGCCGGTTGGAGGGGGGAGTCACGGAAAGACTGCCACCGATGATAGATGGACAGACGGATTGAAGGACAGTTGTCGAGTCAAACACACCAATACCAATACCCGCCATTCGCCGCTAAGTGACGGTGATGTCACCACAGCGCCACAAATACACACACAGAAGTGGACAGACAGATCAAGGTCAGGCAGACCGATACGGATGGACAGACAGAAGAACAGATGGATACATAGATGCACGTGTAGACAGAGAGACCTACGGACAGACAGATGAACCGATTGATAGACAGACAGACACAGAGAATTCAGATAGATATATAGATGACATGCGGCAGATAAGACAAAGCCAGACAGATATCTGGTAGGGAGACCGACAGTTAAATGAACAGACAGGCATACACAGAGACAGACAATTCCATTCGTTCCCTCCTCAGTCCCCATTATTACTGAATTAGTCAGAAGAGTTATTTAAATTTTTATTCTGTTTCATAATTACTTGCGCACCTCTTGCGATTAAAAATAAAAAAAGATCTTGCGCTCGATTGACTCGACTTATTGTGCTAAGAGCAGCAATGCTAATTACGAACTGACGTTAATTACCATCATTTATCGTGATTACGAAACCCCTGGCCCTATTCAGGTCGTTAAACATATTTTTTTTGGAACCCGTCGAACTTTTCTTGAGAAAAAAAAAGTTATCCGACGTGTTTTTTTCTTTCGGGCTTGCACGGAAACGTCGGTACCACCTCATCCACCATCAGTGATGCTGCTACGCAAATAGCGGGACCGTGGCGTCGTATTTCTGTACTAAATCGCAACGCAGGAGGAAACACAAACTGTTGCGTTTGGAGCCGGCGAAAAGTTTCGTGGTTCCATACGTTTTTCGAATCCAGATTTCACACCATTATATGTAAAAAAAAAGAAATTCTCAAGTGGAGTGAGTTGATGGTCACGGCTCGGTCACCGCCGATGACTGCACAAACCCCACCGCCATAATGTTACATTTTCTGCAATTTAATTTGGCTAAATTCCAGCTTTGAGCACGAAAACAATATACACATAGTTTGATTTCCATGCGCCGAACTTATTCATATCAGGGCACTTAGGTAAAACAGCTCCCCCCACCAAGTGTTAATAAGAGCTCAACTTAAAGGCATGTCCTCCGACATCTCCTTCCACGGATGGGCTTTCTTTTCGAGCACGGCACGATGCGCTGCCCCATGAGAGTTCCAATTGGCCGCCGCTTCGATCTCTCGGCGTCACGATGCTGGAATAAAACTGCGGCACGAGACAAAATTACACCGGTGTGCACATGGGGCTCCACATTGGCACGTGCTCATCTCACAGTGGAAACGGCCGTTGCTTGTCAAGAGTAATGTCGTGACGATTCGACGCCTCCGCTGACCTCCTGCCCCCGTTCACCACCACCCCCCCCCCACTCCTGTGCCCAGGTGACCTCTTGCCTGCCGACGGGATGCTCATACAGAGCAACGATCTCAAGATCGACGAGAGCTCTCTCACCGGAGAATCGGACCACGTGCGCAAAAGCATCGACAGGGATCCAATGCTGCTCTCGGGTGAGGCTTTTCTAAAATCTTTATCAGCTGATGATGTCATCATCATCATCATCGTCGTCGTCGTCATCCACGCAGCAGGAGCAGCATATTGTGTCATAAGCATTGTAATTGAAGCAGAAGGCGCTCTCGTTATCAGAGGAAGAAATCTCATTAGCAGCATGCGGCAGCAATAATCATCTTCATCATTGGCAGCAGCTATCATCAGCAACAGCTGGAGTAATCTCAGTTACAGCAGAAATATCAGAAGCAATTATAGGCACTATCATCATCATCATAGCAGCAGTAACTACAGTATGATCATCAGGAGGAGAAATCTCAGCAGCATCAGCAGCAGCATATATAATCATCAGCAGCAGATAAAATTATCATCAACAGGAGAAAATCCAGCAGTAGAAGCAACAGGAGCAGCAGCTATTATCATCATCAGCAGCAGCAGCAGTAACATGATGACGGTGTTATCATGATGGCGATGATGATCATCATATTTTATTCCAAACTTGGAGTGGATTAGTGGATTACTGCATTGTGCTATGAATCTGACAAACCCCACAACCCCATGCCCCAACGATAACCCACAGCTCCAGGCCCTAATCCTATACCACAACCCCAGGTCCTAATCCTATACCTCAACCCCAGGCCCTAACCCTAACCCACAGCTCTAGGCCCTAATCCTATACCACAATCCCAGACCCTATCCCACAACGCCAGACCATAACCTTAACCCACAACCCCAGATCCTAACCCTAACCCACAACCCCAGAGCCTAACCCTAACCCTAACCCACAACCCCAGCCCCTAACCCTAACCCACAACCCCAGACCCTAACCATAACCCACAACCCCAGACCCTAACCCACAATCCCATACCCTAACCCTAACCCACAACCCCAGACCCTAACCCACAACCCCAGACCCTAACCCACAACCCCAGGCCTTAACCCACAACCCCTAACCCCAATCCACAACCCAAGACCCTAACCATAACCCACAACCCCAGACCCTAACAATAACCCACAACCCCAGGCCCTAACCCTCACCCACAACCCAAACCCTAATAATAACCCAAAACCCCAGGCCCTAACCCTCACCCACAACCCCAGATCCTAACCCTAACCCACAACCCCAGAGCCTAACCCTAACCCTAACCCACAACCCCAGCGCCTAACCCTAACCCACAACCCCAGACCCTAACCATAACCCACAACCCCAGACCCTAACCCACAATCCCATACCCTAACCCTAACCCACAACCCCAGACCCTAACCCACAACCCCAGACCCTAACCCACAACCCCAGGCCTTATCCCACAACCCCTAACCCCAATCCACAACCCCAGACCCTAACCATAACTCACAACCCCAGACCCTAACAATAACCCACAACCCCAGGCCCTAACCCTCACCCGCAACCCCAGACCCTAGCAATAACCCACAACCCCATACCCTAATCCTAACCCACAACCCAAACCCTAATAATAACCCAAAACCCCAGGCCCTAACCCTCACCCACAACCCCAGAACCTAGCAATAACCCACAACCCCAGACCCTAATCCTAACCCACAAACCCCAGACCCTAACCCACAACCCCAGGCCCTAACCATCACCCACAACCCCAGACCCTAACCCTCACCCACAACTGTAAACCCTAACCCACAATTCCAGGCCCTAACCCTCATCCACAACCCCAGGTCCTCATCCATAATTACACCTCGGCAATCATTAAATTGTGCAGAAATAAGAGAAAAATTACAGGAGTAATAAAAAGCACCGTGCGTCGGATATGAATGGAAGATCGTTGAGGGAATGACACCTCTATAAATCGGGGTTAAGTGTTTTATTATTCTCCCAAATGTATTTTTACGTAAAAAAAAATTCAACAACTCATTTTTTGTATGCAAAATTATAATAGCTCTGTGATTATTATTTTTTGACATCATGAATGCTTCAGTGGAACTTTTAATATCCAAGCGTGGTTTTCTGAAAAGGGTCTCGTTTCTTTGGTACAATTAAGGCATCAATTTGTCATTTGTATTTTAAAGCTTTCCTAGGCACACACACACATATGATCATACATTATGCATGTGTATATGATCATGATGCATGCATATATGAAAATTATAAATGTGAATGATTATTATACATGCAGGTATGAAAATTATACGCAGAAATATGAAGATTATACACGTAAATATCAACATTCTTTGGAATCTGGTGATTGGCTTCAACCACAGCATAATTTTCATTTGCAATAAATAACTTTGCTTCAGCAGGTGTAACCAACAGAGGTCGATAATACGCCGTACGCTAAAACCGTCCTTTTAAAATAAACTATATATTTATGTGTTAAAGAATGTCAAACCCCGCTAATAAATCATCGGCAGGCATTTACATTTCTTGAAACCCCCGTTCTTTCAACACGGGTCTGCGGAATTTTGCGGAAGTAATTTTTTCAAGTTCCCTTGCTCTCTAAAAATGATGGAAAAATAACCTTAATTAAGTCTTGTAAAACACAGGCCTGATTGTAACAGCGAGAACAAAAAAAATGTATATAGCGTTGGCAATGTTATTTCTTTGACACATTGTTGGCGGAGAAAGTCTTCGTGAAGGTGAACTTGACGCCTAGATTTGTTTTTCCTCTTCAAACTTCGAAACGACTTTTGTGAGATCCCCCCCCCCTCAACCCCCTTTCCCTCCCCCCCTCCTCAAAAACAAACCCCTCAACAAATACTGCGGCCTTAAAAATGAAAAATGTAATGACGGTCGACGTTCCGGACAACGGCACTTGTTCGCAGCACATTAATCGTTCACTGTTAACATGTGGGTCGCGCGCCGCTGCCAACGCAGCATCGCCAACTTGTTTCATTTGTGAAAAGCAGTGGCTGGCATAGGTTCGAATCCAGGTGAAAGGGGTCGACTCGACACTTCAAACCCAGTCGGGTCAATAAAATGCATACTACTTTAGAGTATGGTGTTCCCCTGTGAAAAAAGACAACTAATCCCTGTCAGAGAAATGCAGAGTTTCCATCCATAAATTTAGGCTTTTCAACAGTGGAGGAGCACTGCTCCAGACTTGTTTTAGTGAGAACCCACTTTAACTTTCGATAATTTAATTTATTGCTAATTTCTCCAGTTACGTAAATTGACATTTTATTTTTTACCAAATGCATTCCAATTTGTACCACCGGCGTCTTGTCATGAACAAAGACGTGGTGTGTTCTCTTTTTACGCAGTTAGGAGAGGTCACATTTTCCCACACACTGTGCTCTCATATTGTGGAATGACAGTGCAATCGATACTTTACTCTCAGAGTTGCAATTTAGCAAATTTAAGTGAAAAAAAAAAACTAATTTAATGTAATGCTTTATGGCGTAATCATTGTTGACTGGGGTTCAGGCCATAATCTGGCCGGACTTGAGGACTTGTTCTAATCATGAGTAAATCTTCATTTAAACTTCAACAAGGATATCTTCAATGTCACATTTCGTGTCATCGCTACTTTTAGCTGCTGTGGTTTTAAAAATAACTTGACTGCCATTCCTTGGGGGTGGGGGGGGGGGGTCTTACAACTCTCACGCTGTTGTCTAAATATGCAAATTATTACATTGGATATCTCTTACGTAAGCAATGTGAGAGCCCAGTAGGCTTATTATTATTGACAGGACCACGCATGCCTTTGTCTCGCCCGGTGCTTACGATCTTGGCCCACACCACATTGGGAACTCGTTTTGAGGCCGAGTTCACCTAGGGGAACACTCTGAAGGTGGCCAAAATAGAACATTTCAAGGTCTTCCTCTCTTCCCACTGACGGTCGAAACAAATACCCTGTCATCATTATTTCCAATTAGCGTGCAATTCTCGGGGAAGGCAATGACTGTCACAGACACAACGTCCACCGCCGCTGTGCATCGTGGAAAGGACTTTAACCCAGTTTTCCACAATTCTAGTGCAGTGTTACGCAGTGTGTGTCGGCTTCTAACATGCGTATAACTAGATACGACAAGAGCAACAACAGCAGCTGTTATTCACAACAGAGTAGAGGTGACATAATCACAGCGCTTGTACCGGGCTAGGTCAACGTCGAGGCCATTGTGTGAGTGTCTAATTCCTGCACCAATATTTGAGGAACAGCAGTCTCAGCAGTATCAACCCCAAGTTGCGCCATCAGAGTCAACCCCAAGTTGCGCCATCAGTCAACCCCAAGTTGCGCCATCAGTCAACCCCAAGTTGTGCCATCAGTCAACCCCAAGTTGCGCCATCAGTCAACCACAAGTTGCGCCATCAGTCAACCCCAAGTTGCGCCATCAGAGTCAACCACAAGTTGCGCCATCAGTCAACCCCAAGTTGCGCCATCAGTCAACCCCAAGTTGCGCCATCAGAGTCAACCCCAAGTTGCGCCATCAGTCAACCCCAAGTTGCGCCATCAGAGTCAACCCCAAGTTGCGCCATCAGTCAACCCCAAGTTGCGCCATCAGTCAACCCCAAGTTGCGCCATCTGAGCAGAAGGAGTTTTTTTTGTTCCTTACACCAAGACCTCACAGAAATGTTCATCAAATCTGCAAACCTGTTCCTCGGGGGGGGGGAGCGTCAGAGATTGGATCATCACTCTGTCCCTTGGGGGATGCCAATAAGACAGACACACACAACAACAACCGCTATTTGCCATTAAGTGACGGTGACGTAACCACGGCGCTTGTGCCAGGCTATGTGCACATTAAGGCCACTTGAAGTGTCGAACGCCTGCTGGCAGATCACGGGACAGACCCAGGTGCCATGGGTTGATTGACCGAGATGACTGGCCGATGCACCATCTGTGCCCCCTACTGTGCCAACTTGCTATGTTTTATCCACCCAGCCCTCCGCTCGTTGTTGTGAGCGGCACTCCTCTCTCCTCTGTTTTTGCAGGAGGGCGACTGCCTCCAACTGCCCAGTAGCGTCCTTCACGAGCCACACAAACTCACACACACATTCATGAACGCATGAATGTATGCATGCATGCACACACACATGGCCCATCAAAAAATTATCCCATCGCCTCTAATGCACATGTATAAAAATAGCGTGACAGCTCATTATAGCGAGCTGTCATTGCGCTCCAATCAGGATTGTTTGGACATGGAGTTAGTGGGGGGGGATCGACGAAAGGTGAAACAACAACAGCTTAATGGAACAAGACAGAATGAAAAAGGGAATGTAGAAAATTATTTACAGACTTTGCATTTTTATAAATAAGGAGCCTTGTGATCAGAACAGTTACGAATGGAACCTAATAAGTACATGGTTCAGGATCGATTTTTACTTTCAACGGGGGTCCCATATTTTATATGGAGTGTTTTGGGCTATAATTCCTGGTTATCAAGCAGCAATTGTTAAACAAGCCAGACTGTTGATGAGACCCAGAATGTTGAAACTGGTCCAGAGTTTGCTTGCTTAAACAATTGCTGCTTAAAAATGTTGATCCAGAAAAGTCGATAGGCTGACAACGAAAATATATCATAAATGTATTTGGAGGCTGCAAATAGAGTTTGCTTATACAGTACAGTATTTTCGTATTCTAATAAATTACAAGAGTATTTTTATTCCAGATGTTACCAACCTCGGTAAGTGTTGTCAAGAACTATTGTAAACACTACCACAGGCAACTGTGTCCTTTTTTCAAGAAAGCCTCGCCAAGTCTCAAGACGTTTTGTTTCTTTCTTTGGGCACGTTTTGTCCAATTTATTTTTCAATGGGCGCGCGGCATCATGTGGCTGATAGCAAGGGGGTATCATCTATGTCAGGGGAGGAGACACTAAAAGCTTTACGCAGACGAGTTAGGAACCTACTCGCTGTAGTACTCGCCACCTTGCAGCCCAGTGAGTTGGAAGTCTCACATCACCAAACTAGTTAAAACTATATATATATTGTTTTGGAGCTTTCGTGATTGCAGGAATAATAAATTATTTTATTTATTCTTATTTTCTCTTTCTACGTGACTTTACCGAAAGAACCAAAGAGTATATATATTGTTTTAATAGGTAAGGCCCACTGAGCTGTATAGCTGTTTTTTTCAGAATCGACCTGGCCACAAATGATAGCTCGATGATGTGGCTTATAGGATGGAAATTTATAGCTGCCAAATACTCTAAACGCATGTCTATTATAAATGTGAAGGGAACAACCGGATGGCCCTGACAAAAATCCACATGACCACACGGAGAGAGAGACATGCAAACTCCAAATATATAGGCGTCAGGGTCGGCATTGAACCCAAGACCTCTTGTTACCTGGCGATGTAGTTCACATCCCAACCACCGTGGCACACCAACCCTCCGCGCCAAAGCCACTGTGCATGAGAGGTCCTGTGCCTCGATTCGAAACAGAAAGGTCATTGGGGAGACCGAGACGGTTAGAAGGAATTCTTGCCCTAACAATCATTGTTGGTGAGGTGTTCACTGTCAGGGCTTGGCCTAGCCGTCTGAAAGGCCTTAAGGTTATCTTACCCCTCCTGGGTTTTCTCTGATTTCGTCCATCAAGCGAAAGATCCCAAAGGAGGACCTTCCTCAAGAAATGTATTGAGTCTCAGCGATTCTCTATTGGACAAATAATTGGTATTATTACCGTTTAACTAAGAATCTCGTTGATTTTCGATTTGATATTGCATTAAAGAACAGACTAAATCTATCGCTGAGTGGCTTTTGGGTTCCCAGAATATCACTTGAGCTATCACCAGTTAAATCAAGAAATAAAGCATAAACTAAATAAAATAAAATCACAACCCTCCCACAATCACCGAATCACAATGGTCACCTTTGTTCATTTTGTTTGTATTTTGTGCACAAAAGCAACATTTTAACAACAACAACAACACAAGATGCTTCTCGCAGATTAATAATACATTCATTTTAGAATTTCTTTTCATTACGACTGAGTGCCCTATTGATTTTTGTTTGCAGTCCGTATCATTTCTCCTGTCGGAACGCGCTTGAATTATTTATTTACAGACCTATTAATTTATTTAAGAGTTGTAATGCTTCGCCATCAATGCGGCTGGGTGGTTGCGGTGATGAGGTGCAAGCACTTCCATCACAATCCCGATGGCTGGGAAAGGGGTGGACTAAGTTCACCATCGCCGCCGGGAACCGATGAAATTACTACAGTGCCGCATTCTCCGGGATTGTAAGACGCTCGATAGACTTATACAAATCTGGTCACGTGTGCAAGATTAATAGATGCACCCCCCCCCCCCCCCAAACTCTTTATGTCACAGTTATAGTAATTTATAGAGGTTACTTGAATTTGTATGGAATTGTTCCTGGCACCTCTTGCTCTCATATTATATTGCCACTTTTTGTATTATTCGCGTGCATTTCATTTTCCGTATATTCATCAACAACAATCATTTTGCAGTGATGTTATCTTCATCATCATCATCATCGCCGTGACTTTGATTTCTGTTGAGGATGATGATGATCGTGACAATGATGGTGAAACTGCTGCTGTTGATACAGCTGCTGGTGGCGATGACGATGATGTTGATGATCGCGGCGGTGCTAATGGCGATTGACCATGGCAATGATGATGTTGCAGGTACCCATGTGATGGAGGGCTCGGGCCGAATGGTGGTCACAGCTGTTGGCGTCAACTCCCAAACGGGAATCATCTTCACGCTCCTGGGAGCAGCCGAAGAAGGCGACAAAGACCAAAGTAAGAGGGCCTTCACCGGGCCCATCGTGTGATTAGCTAACAGCGGGGCAAGCGGGCCACAAACAAGGCCACAATCAAGGCCACAAATCAGCCAATAGCCAGGTCACAATCAAGGCGCGGTCTAGTTACCGCTTGGTCACAACCGGGTCACAGTGAATCCACAATCATGAGTACAGTCATGGACACCATCAGGCCACATTTATGTTACAATCAGGACACAATCAGGCCACAGTTATGTTACAATCAGGACACAATCGGGCCACAGTTATGTTACAATCAGGACACAATCGGGCCACAGATATGTTACAATCAGGCCACAAGTGTGCTATTGTTATGCATGTTGCATTTAGGACATAACAAGGTCACAATCATATGACAACATACTCTTTGGGTCTATTCGGTAAAGTCACGTAGGTAAAAAATTAAAACAACAAAAATCACGACGTTTCGGCCACAACACAAGCGGCCTTCATCAGGTGAAGGGACCAACCTGTCCAGCGGACAGTCGGCTTACTATTACACCACCACTGCGGCAGTATTCACATTTCACTTCCAGAATGGACGTACATATGATAGCACGTACCCGTTTAGAACCGTTGTGACGTTTCGGTACGCTTGGCAAACCGTGGTATTAATCTCGAATGAACCACAACGAAAAAAACACGGCCAATAAATGCTACTACAAATGTGTTTACACCCATTAATAGCACTTGTTCTGACCTCTACATCTTTCAAACCTCTACGACTGCTTTAAGTAAAGGTGCGGTGTGTATAATTTATATATATAAAAAAACACAAACAGCAAAACATTAATAGCTTTTCCTTTGAGCTGCAATGAAATGCTGTTGTGAAAAATTAATTTGGGTGGCTTGTTCTCACCTTGAACAGTGCAACAGTCCTTTTCATCAGAGAAAATATCAAATTAAAAAGAGACGCGCTCACCCGCACACGCAAACAAAGAAAAAGGGCCCCCGTCTAGCCTATACGGGCTGTTGGGGCAAGTGGTGTTAGTGAGCACTTGTTAAGGCTGGAGCGGCGCACGAGAGGGCGGGTGGCCAGCACCACGTCTGGCTGCCTTTGTCTCTGCAGTGCTGATTGTTACACACCGTGCCGGATACTCATTTAAGGCCGAGTCGACCTCGGGGAGACCCTAAACCAGTTGAAATATTCGTCCCTGTTATTGGTCGACGGTGGGTATCGAACTCGGGTCGCTGGGTTTGCAGAGCAGTTGCCCTAAACCACCAAACTCCCGCAACTACACACACGCTCGCGCGTATACACAGCGTGTGCACGCACGCACATAGCAATCTCACATCTTTGCCTTCGGGCTAAACTAAATGTGGAATGTTACACCCATGGGGATTTTACGTGCCTCTTAGAATTAATCTGCTCACTAGATTATGTAGGTTTGGTGTGTTTTTGTTATACTTTATATTTACACACGCACACACACACACACAGTGTGATGTGTTAAGGGAGAATAAGCAGCTCGCAAGCTTGGAATAGAATAACGGCAAGAAAGAATTGAGGACATAACATCGGGAAGGAGGCGGTGGCGCAGGGCGGACGGGGGTAGGTGACCGAGACGAGTAGCGGAGTGGCACCCAGAGGCTGGCAGCCAAGGGGGGGCGGGGTGGGGGGGGGATGTGGGAGAGCTGAAGCCACGTGGTGATGACGATGAGACCGCAGATATGGTCCTCAAATTAGATTATTAACTCGGTTAACAAGTAGAATACACAGAGACCGATGGTAGTGATGAAGATGGTGATGAGACTGCAATATCAGACCGAGGTCTGTGTTGATGGAGATTGTAAAAGCAGAGCTTTGACGTCTGCGACGATGATGAAAGACTCTGAAAAATCAGACCTTCGAGGTCTTGTTCATGGCAGTGAAACACAGAATCTGGCACGAGGATGAAGATGATGAGCCAGACTTGCTGGTATTCATCCAGCTCCCCCTCCTCTCTCCTTCCCCCTCCCACTTAGGGATGAATCTTCTGTACTCAGGGCCACTGTTCAATGCACGAAGCAATTACGATCGGTCTCGTTTGTAGAATCTCATTCCCATTTCAAAATGTTCCGTCTCGTTTGCACAGTTTTGTTCGCATCATTAATTAACCCACGCGAGATGTCTTCACATCACGTGCATACAATTTGCATCAATCACAGAACCGAGGGAGGGAACGGACGCCAGAGGATGATGAATCACCCGGTAGCCCCCCCCCCTCCCCTTCACCCGTGCAGGCGCTTAGATGGATATTTGCGACGCGAGGCGATGTGGAGACGGTGACGACTTAGGGAGGCCTTCATCCAGCAGTGACCATAATTGTCGACGATGAAAACCAAAGGATATCGATTGTTACATACGTGATTTAATGCACCTATCATGGGCGTACTAATCTATATTAATTGATGAATCAATAGAGCATTACGCCCACAACTTAGTAGCAGCAACGCTTTCGACTTGTTTAGATATTTGTGCAACAATGCGTCCATGCATGAACAGGCGATGCACATTGTTTCACCATAACAAGTTTTTTGCTTGTCTATGGCATTGTTGTTTGTGCTACCTCACAAGCTGGCCTTCGACAATACTTTCATGGCAAGGGTGCGCTGGGCTCAGGGACTCGCGATGGGCAGGTCAGGGGGCAATGAAAGAGCACGGCTTAAATCACCGACTTCAATCCTGGGTCTCAGCCATCCATGATGGAACTGGCTTTCTTGACGGCTGTATTTGAATGGTGTCGCAAATGGAAGGGAATGTTTGAGATGTATATAACCGTGAGCTGTGGTCAAAGCAATCTCACACGCACTGCTGCTTTGAGAGAGTCGGAGGAGATTAATCACCCCCCCCCCCCCCCCCATAATATCCAAATGACAAAACAAGCGCTCGTGAGGTAACCTCGAGGTTTTAAACGAAAAAGTTCCGTCACAAACAGATTCAACCCGGTCACCAAATGAGGGCACTAAAGCCTCCGTGCGCAATTTATCCCCTCGGCTGTGTGTCCCAACTCTCCTAAACGGACATCAAAGCTTCGTTCACGAGGAGAGGGTAAGAGGTGTCGGAAAGGTCACCGCGGGAAAGAACGATACAATGAAGTCAACACGTTCGTCAAGAACATTGTGGCCTTGAAAGTGAGAATATGTAGCCAGCGTCCTTTCGAGAAATAGCCCTTCTCCATAGCACATGACGAGAGAGGCCAGAGAGAAAACGAGTTGATAAGAGTTGCAGGACTGCACCTCCGATTAACACGGTTGGCTACGTATGGTACGAACGAAGTTCAACAAACATACATAGAATGGGACCCTGACGGTGTATGAAATAATGTAACACTTGCATTCATCTCGCCACGGTGGCAAGATGTTAACTACCTCATCTGGTATACACGAGGTCGTTGGTTCGATCCTGACCCTGACGCCTACTGTATATTTGATGTTTGCTTGGTCTCCTTGTGGTCGCGTGGATTTCTCTCCGGGTCCGTCGGTTTTCCCCTCCACATTTAGCAACATGCGTTGAGAGCATTTGGCTGCCATAGATTCCCACGTAATAAGCCACTTCGTTGAGCTATAATTTGTGGCCAGGTCGCTTCTGAAAAAATAGTTTTATAGCTCAGTGGGCCTTACCTGGCACAATAAAAAATTGTTTATAGTTTTATATTTTTACTATAATGGAATGCGTTATCTCATAGCCTGGTTATTTTAGCCTAGAGGACCCTCTGATGACAACTTCTTCCTCTGCGGCACAAGACAGCTCAGCACTGGGCTCCAAGTGAGCACTCGACTGTCAGGAGGGAACGATGGTTGCTCAGTGTAATTCAAATGCAGTCATTTGCGGGTCACATCTGAGACTTGCCAAATTTGGGCCACCTGAGATGGCAAAAATTCGAGTTGTACCGACAATTTTTAATTGACGACGACTATCAATGCAGTGGCGGGACTCCTTGAGCCTTGAATGGTTGACCGACTAATGCGAGGCGTGACCTGGTGTTAAACGGTAGCTTCGCTAAACAACCTCTGATGATGCTGCGTCGTCGCAATCGCCGATGAGCAGAAAGACTTCAAAGTCGAGGTCAGGATGCCTCCGTCAGCGTGATGCGGTGGAACCCCCACACCGATGTTGTCTCGAAACACGTGGGAGTGATGTCATATGATATCACCATTGTGCCACAATGATAGTCACTTAGAGTGCAATAACTCTTATTCACTCCTACGTATGTCTGTATGTTGAACTTTTATTGTAGCCAACCGTGCTAATATCCAACACACCCTTTAAATTAAATTGGGAACCAATTTTTTTGTCATTATTAATCAAAGTTGCTGAGCATTGCAGTCGACCCAAAGGTTCAACATGCCAAGTGGCCGGCAAATCAATTTTTGCCAAGGTGCCAACGACAAACAGCACTCTTGAAGGCGTTATGGACGTCACACGTTTGGGGGGGGGGGGGGGGTAAAAAAAGTGGAGAAACGGGAGGGAATTTCCCAGTGGAAGCAGCGACAGAGGTGAAGCAGAAGGAGAAGTGTTGTCACCTGCAGAGTTGTGGTTGAATGCCAGTGCTGGACCCATCCTGAAAAAGGATGATTAAGACTTAAGCAGGCTTTCTTGGTTGAAATAAAGGACATTATTGTTATCATCATCATCATCAAGGAGGTGTATTTAATTGACTGTAGTTGCAGTTCTGTGGCATCACCTTGCAGGTTTAAACAAAGGATATTATTATTATTATCAAGAGGCATGTTTATTTGACTGCAGATGTAGTTCCATGGCGTTGCCTTGCAGGGACATTTTGCCTGACGAACTTGAGCCTCTGCTAAGTGCAAGGGCTCCACCGGGGCCCGTCCTCCTCTTCCTCTTCTTGTGACATGATCTGATATGATTTGTGATAAGAAAAAGGTCCAGGGGAAAAAAAAACAAATCCACGTCAAAAGTGACGAGTGAACTCATGCCAGGATAACGATGAGACTGATGCCATCAAATGAGATCAGCTCATTCGAGTGATTCGT